TGGTGGCCCTCAGCGCCGAGGTTCGAAGCTCACGCGCCCACCCTCTCGCCTCCTCCTAACCAAGGCTGTATGCGTCGAGAGCGCACGCGGGGTGCTGGGATCCCTCAAATTTTGGTATGGGATGCTGGAGGGCAACTGCCACCAAGGTACTGATGGCTAGGAGGTGGGAGGATCGTGAAGAGTGGGCGATTCCGCCTCCCCATTCCACAGGTGGGCCCATCCCCTGGTGGCCCCGGTGCTGCCTAAGTTATTTTTGGGGGGTTAGTGCTTAGGGAGAGGGATCATGCCACGGTCTCCTTGCCACGCCCTATTCCACCTACTTTGGGTGTCCAGAAGGTTTGAGAAGATCTGGGGAACCATTTGCTCTCAACTTTAGGCTGCCCAAGAAGGAAATTATATAAATATAGAGCTAGGCCAGGGCTACTTAAGTAAAGTGAAGATGAGGGGCAGTGAGCGCATTATTTTAAAATGTCTTCTTGGAACTATTTAAACAAAGCAAAACTATAGTGTAGTGGTTAAGAGCAGGAACCCTAGAGCCACACAGACAGATTGGCCTCCTCGCCTCCCAATGTACTGTGTGACTTGGATAAGTAACTTAACTGCTCTGGGCTTGTTTCCTCATTTGTCAAACAGCACTTCCTCCTGGGTTTTGTACGTAAAGTGTTTAAGAAGCATTCAATAATTTAGCTATTACCATTGTTGTAATTATTATAAATATTAATATAAGAGTACTGTAAGAGACAGCAGATATAATCAAATTAACTACCTACATTTTCTGGTTTCGCAAAGAGGGGGCCTTAGGCATTGGAGTACACAGGGTAGAGGGCTGGATTCAGCTCCAACAGTGTTATAATGAGCTCCCTCTGGTACTAATAACACCTCCCCAGGGGCTAAGGAAGTGCTATTTTGTTAAAAGGAATTCTTGTTACCAGAGCTTCTCAGAGATTTTCTTCTATGTTTTTCTTTTTCCGTACCCATCCCAGTTCCCTTTTCCTTCCCTCTCCTCCCACCAGGGTTTTTGTTTTTTGCCCCTTTCCCTTTCTACCCCACCACTTGCCGGCATCGGTCTCCACCACCTCCAATCTCCCCAACTGTCTGTCCTCCCTTGGCTTGCCATCTTGTAGAAAATCCAGGTCCAAGTAGTAGTTTGTGGGGGTGATGGTTTGGAACACCCACCTATGAGGCCAGAGAGAGAGGAAGGGAGAGGGAGAGAAACATTGATAAAAGAAAGACATTGATCAGCTGCCTCCTGCATGCCCCCTACTGGTGATTGAGCCCCATAACCTGAGCATGTGCCCTGACAGAAATCAAACCAAGGACCTCTTGATGCATGGGACAGTACTCAACCAACTGAGCCACACCAGCTGGGCAAGGGAGGGATCTTTATGATATTTTCTTGAAGGCTCCAGGTGTTACAAGGCAGGGCTCATCTGAAATCTTTCTGATCCTTTCATGATCTGTGCAATGAAGAAAAAAAACAAAAACATTTATAGCTGTTAACCAGTTTAAAAAAAACAAAAACAAGATAAAGAGGAAAAGGGGAAATGCAGCATAAGTTGGTTGTGGTTGGAGGAAGAGGCTGATTTCCTTGCAGAAAACCATTTCAACTCTGTAAAATTTTTGCACCTAATTTGTTTTTAACACCAGGTCGTTGGGGTTAATAAGTTATTCTGATTGTTTTCATTTTCCTCCACTCAGTATTTTCCTGAGTACTAACAGTCTGCAAATGTTTTAAATGTCTTTTTGCCCTGCTTGGATCTGCATTTTTTTAGGGCTCCTAGAACTCTCAACCATTCCCCTTAGATATTCTGACACTTCCTACCTGGTACATGGCAGGTGTTCAATAAACATAGATAGAATGAATGGATGAGTCAATAGCATCCAGATCTTTTAAGGCTCTGTGTAACCTACACTGAACAGTTATCTGGAGTATTCTAGTATTCTGATTCACTTTCACCTGGCATATCCAATGAGGAGCCACCATTGGGTTCATTCGTGTTGCGTAAAGGTCAACCTGGATTTTCTACTTGGCTGTCATGGACTGGCCAGCCAGGGGATAGACCCTGGCCAGTCAGGGGATAGACTCTGGGCAGCTAGGCCTCACCTCTGACTGACCTCCCCTACCCAGCGTCAACCCCAAAGATGCTGGAACCGTATCCTGGTGGGTTACCTTGGCAACCTCACAATGTCATCTGTTAGAATGTCCTAGGGCGGCAGCTTTTAATTCTATCACAGCGGTCTCATCGGGGGTCATGTAATAGTGCTGTTTTTCCTGTGCTCACACTTCCTCCCCCTATGATTTAACACTAAGTACTTGGGGAGGGAGCTGAACACGGGGAAAACCAAGTTATTATAGCACGACAGGTCACAGATGGCCCCAGAGCTGGGATCCCCAGTGTTCGCAGTCGATAAAACACAGGCCCCGAGTTAATGGGGAAGCTGGTTCTCCTCACACACCCTGTGGAAAGGAGGGGAGTTAAGCCAGCCTGGGCAAGCGTAAGAAGCAGCTGTGGCCAGATTGTACAATTCTTGTAAAAGCTGGGTTACAGGAGCCCCCCCTTCCCCCCACTGGAACAATTCTCTCTCTAGGCTTCAGCAGCATCACCCACTCTGGAGATGATTATGGCCATAGCTACCAGCCGCCAGAACAGTTTTGCTGCATCCTAGCTATGCAGAAGCTTGGAGGAAGGGGAGTCCCAGCTAACCTATTCTGCCCACCTTCTTCCAACCTCCCAAACCCCCGCCCCACAGTTTCACCACACTCAGCCCTCCCCTCCAATTTAGATTAAAATAACTCAGTCCCCTGTTATTCTGTAGACAGTATTGTGCAGCAAACGGGCCCATCAAAAGCTTCAGAACCTGAAGAGCGATTGTCCTCATTGTTTATTAACGATGCCATGAAACCCACATCTTGTACAGGGCAGCTGAATAGCAACATTTCAGGGCTGCTGAAAGAGATAAGTAAACTCATATATGTCCCAGAGGTACAAAAATTATTCATCTTTATCATCACGGTTAATATTTTAAGTGGGTTTACAGCCTCAGTGAGATCACAGTTTGGCCATCTGCTCCATACTAAATGGCTGCAGGAAGCTGGCCCCAATAGGGCGACACCCATTCCTATGAGGAGACTGGTGGCAGAGACCCAAGTTCTGTGACCCAGAGTCAATCGTCTGGAAGGAACCCTTTACCCTTTGTTCGCTGTGACAGGCAGAGCCCTCACAGAGACACCCTGGCCAGACCATGGTGCCCCTGGTCCCAATGGGGCAGGTGTCCCAACATGCCCTGTACCTCCCTCAGCAGCGTGGAAGTGTGAGTTGGGATGGGAGCAGGGAGTTGGTAGGGTACTTTGTATGTGCTGTGCTCATTGATCGGCCAAGGCCAGGGACTTTTGTCTGAAGTGTAGTCAAACTAATACACTGCAAATGCTACCCACGGCCATCACTAATTTGAGATGTTCATTATTGCCCAATGTTCCATTAATCTATTACCCCTACCCCCCAAAAATACATTGTTATTTTGCTCTTGAATCTGCTCTCATTTTATCTCTGAATTCCCAGTCTGTCAAACAGGCAGTTCAGGGGAGCGGGGCCCTCCTGTGGCTGAGATAGAATGTGCTCTCTGGAGCAAAGCCATGAGAGACCGAATTTCAGGATCTAGTGTGAAGCCCTCCTATTGGCAGCCTTGTTTCCCTCACGCAACCCCAGGAACCCTCTGGCTTTGCCAGAAGCCATCCACATCCACACCCCTTCACTGTTTATTCCATTCATGGAACATATCTATTTACTTGCATTTGTGAACAAAGTTTATTTCCAGAGATAGGAAATATATATACATGGATATATAGGAACCTTACATATTCCACAAATGTCAAAAAGGAGATTGTAGAAATATATTATCAAATAAATGGTAGGATAATATTTTGATATATTAATGGATGTGATTACCCTTCCATCACCGCTACTTCTCTTTCCCCACTGTACTTCTTTGTTTCTGAAAGGGGGGAGAGGGAGAGAGAGGAAAAAAACAACATCGATGTGAGAGAGAAACATTGACTGGTTGCCTCCCACACGTGTCCTGGCCAAGGAGCAGACCTGCAACCTGGGTTTGTGCCCTGACCAGGAATGGAACCCACCACCTTCTGGTGTAGGGGACTGTGTTCCAGCCAACTGAGCCACACTGGCCAGAGCCCGCTGCATTTCTTGTTACACTGTACCAACCCTCTTCCCATCCATTTAGACACCCAGAGAAGACAGTTTGCCACATGGCAGAGTTAGCATGATAATACCAGAAAAAAAAGAGTCAAATTCTTGGCTTTGGAGCTTTCAAAAGTCAAGGTCCAAATATAAAATGAAAAAGATAAGGAAAACATGAAATCAAG